AAAGCATTTACAAGAGCCCCAGTGCACATGAAGACTAAACAATCTTCTAAAACCAGGTCACATAATCTGGATATCCTATCAAAGTCGCAGTCTAGGTGGAGAGAGCACTGCAGAGATCCATGACCTGAAGTAGTCACATGACATTGGGAGGAGATTTGACCTGCAAAGCACTTACTAGGCTTGACAATAGGTAGTACAGTCCTGTAAATCAGCATTCCATTTTCCTGTCTGCAAAAGAAGGTCCTTTGGATGTCCACATCAATGTCTATGTAACCTGGACACTTCATACTGGTTGTCCAGCTGCAGGGTTCTGTTAGTTTACAGAAGACTGCAGTGGTAACATGGCTTCATGATGAGGGGACCAGTCAATGTGGGCACAAAACTCCATCGCTGGATTCCTTGGTCGTTACTCCTAGACATGGCATTGGCAAGGAAAACGGCAGAATTAAATGAGTTAGAAAATTGATTCCCAAGGTATTTATGCTTTTTAAACAATTGTGACTATTGATGTGCTGCACACACACACAAGCAAACTATCAAAGTACACAGGGTGTGTTTATCCTTCTGCCATGCTGCAGCTCAGCCCCATTTATTCCCAGCTGTCAAAATGACAGAGGGGATTTTGTGTGCAAATGCAGCAGCTATAACTGCTGCCGTCAAAAAGCAGACCATCATTTATAAACACTGTTCAGATATGAGATAGACAGATACAAAGTAACTGTTTTGTTTCATTCATGCAGATCAAAGAGACAAGCTTCAATCTGCACAAGTTGTCAGTTAAAGCAACCCTACAAGTGAAAAAAAGGGGTTTTTTTTTAAATAAAATATGTTCCTTTTTAACCACCTATTAACCCTCACTTTACTCTGATAAGCCCTAATTAACTCACTCTTCTCCTTCTCCCCTAAAATATTTTCCTGCTGCTTGTTTTTTATTTCTATTTTCCATTCATTGTTAGTTAAATGTTTTGTTTTTTTTTAATTTAAATATTTATTAATTTTCAAAATAATAGGAAAGATAAAATCCACAGTACAAATTCTTTACATAAAAAAAATATACAATCATTTCCCATTTTTTCCTTATTTCTCCCATCCTCCCCCTAACAAAATCCCCCTTCCTCCTCCCCCCCATCCTGCACATCTCTTCACCTTCCGCTCTTAGGCAAGAGAAAAAGAGACTTGAAAAATGTTCTTATTACTAAAGGGACTGAAAGAAAGCAAACTCCTTCTTTATTATTCTGATCCGATCTGAACTCTTCCCATTTTTTCCATTTCATGTAATATGTCTCCATCCTATCTTCCTGTATATAAAATAATTTCTCCATTCTACCAATCTGGTCCACTCTTTCTATCCAGTCCTCTTCTTTTGGATCTTCTACTTTATGCCAAAACTTTGGTATCAGACTTTTGGCTGCATTTAAAAAGTACCATACACCCGTTTCTTTATATTTATTTACTGATAATTCTGTAATATGTAAAAGGCATCCTCCAGGGTCCAAACCAATATCCATTTCCGTAATCATTCTAATCTGATGCACTACATTTCTCCAGAATACTTGTATTTTTGAACATTTCCACCATATGTGATACATTGTGCCAATTTCTCCACACCCCCGCCAACACATAGGTGATTTCTCCCCACTCATCTTGTGCTCTATACTCGGTGTAATATACCCTCTTATCAGACATTTATAATTCATTTCCACCTCGCGTGTACTTACATTCTCATGAATCAGGCATTAACTCTTTCAGCCTATTCGCTAAGATCTTTGCATATATCTTCGTATCTGTATTCAATAATGATATTGGGCTATAGCTTGAACATTGGGCAGGATCTTTTCCTTCTTTGTGAATAAGAACCACCTGAGCCTGCAGGGATTCTCGCCTCATATCCATCTCTCCCCCCAAAGTGTTGAAATAGGACTTCAATTTAGGTATTAACAATTCACTGTATTTTTTATAATATCTAACAGTGTATCCGTCAGGCCCTGGGCTTTTACCCGTCATGGAGCTTTTTAATGCTGTCTTTATTTCTTCATATGTAATTTCAGAATCTAGGGAGTTCAATAGTTCTTCATTTAATTTCGGTAGACCTGCATTTTTTATATATATCTTTCTTTTTTCAATAGTTGCTGTTCCATCCTTATCTATTAAGTATTGGGGGGCAATATTATAAAGTTTACTAAAGTAATCCTTAAATACCTTCGCAATATCTCTAGTTGAGTGAATCAGTTCTCCCTTGGGGTTTTTTATTTTATCTACCGTATATAATTCCTATTCTTTTTCTTCAGAGCTCTCAGTGAAAAAAAGTTTTTTTTTTTTTAAATAAAATATGTTCCTTTTTAACCCCCTATTAACCCTCACTTTACTCTGATAAGCCCTAATTAACTTACTCTTCTCCTTCTCCCCTAAAATATTTTCCTGCTGCTTGTTTTTTATTTCTATTTTCCAATCATTGTTAGTTAAATGTTTTGTTCATTTTTTTACTGTCACATTAAGTCTTCATTCACACTGCTGTGACTTAGGATCTGACACGTGAGACCCCAAATCGCATGACATGTGAAATCCCATGTTAGTCAATGAGAACTGTCCTAATTAGCACTACAGAAGTTGCTCTGACTTTAAAAGAGGTTCCTGTACTACTTCAAGGTGACTTCTATCTGACTTGTGTCCCTAGACTTTAACCCCTTCATGCCTAAGGGTAAAACAAATCTTAACGCCTAAGCACAATTTTGCAAGGTTGATGTGTTAGTAAAACCGTACATATCATCACAACTACTTTGTACATCCAGGTGAATTATACCTTGTTTTTTTCAGGACAAATTGGGCTTTCTTTTGGTGGTAAATTGTAATTTTTATTCATAATCAAAGGAAAACTGGCCCAGAATAGTAAAAAAATCATTTTTTAAAATGTATCTGTGTGTTTCTTGTTACTACCATAACCTACCACCAAAGAACAACCCAAAATAAATCTTCCAGCTCTTGACAATCGCAGTGGTACCATATATGTGTGTGTTTTTTGTTGTTTCTATCCGTAGTACAGCCCAGAAACAATAGCGCACATTTTTGTTTTGTTTTTTTTTTTACCTAAAACACACTGACACTAATACCAATTTAAAAAAAAAATCCTCACCTTTGACCCTGACCTTTTTAACCTTGACCTTTGACCATGACCTTGACCCAAACACTTACCCTGGCACTGAACTAGATCAAACTTTGATCTAGGTATTTTTTCTTTATTTTATTTTTTAATATTTATTTCTTTTTTCTTTTTTTTTAATAAACATTTCCCCCCCCCCCTCTATGCCAGGAGTTAGAGAGATACAATGTATCTCTCTCCTCCATTCATAGAGAGAAAAGAAAAACAAGGGGGCCGGGCTGTACAGTGACTGATCACTGTGATGGCCAATCAGAGGATATCACAGCGATCATGTGACCCAGAATTGGGAGTCCCAGGTCCCGATTGTGCGCGCTCCCAGCACAAAGACAGGTACGCAAATATGCAGCCCCATGGAAAAAAGCCCAGTTCTGTGAGACCGCATATTTGTGTGACGTCGGCGTCAAGGGGTTGATGGAAATTGCCTCCCAGTTGGGTCCTCATCTATATTGATGGGATTTGACTCCAACATTACAGGAAAATTATCCAGGCAAAGTTGCTTGCCATCAAAGTTTTGCATCAAGTCACAGCAAAGTCGTACTCAAGCTGCATCAAATCACCAGAAGTTGCCAGGAAATTGCCTGGCAAAATCGCCCTGTAAGTCGACTTTCAGGTTGCAGTAGTGTGAACCAAACCTAAAAGTACAAAATGTAAAAAAAAAAAATCCTGCATTTTATCTGTAAATAACTTTGCAATGATTTATACCATAATTATAGTGTCATTTTAAATTTTAAAAGGGGGAAAGCTGTTTTTTTAAGTTTTGTTACATTTTTTATATATGGATTGTATAAAAATTTAAAAATTAATAATGACAAATTTATTGCTGAATAAACAGGTCCATGGCAGAAATTGTTCTGGCTCATAGGTGGTGTTCAGTTGTGACAGTTGGACTGGTTAGGCAGCTAAATAGGTAAGAGGGAGGGATGACGAGGGAAACATTTGTGTGGAGATGGACTTTAAAAAAATAAGTACATTAAAGATGAAGTTTGTTTGTGTATGATTTACAGTCATGGTCAAAAATATTGGCACCCCTGCATTTCTGTTAGATAATGCACCACTTTGCCCACAAAACTGTTGCAATTACAAGTGTTTAGGCATTCTCATGTTTATTTCTTTTGTTTGTATTGGTATGACACAAAAAAGTGGAGAAACAAAAAGCCAAATCTGACAAATTCCACTCAAAACTCCAAAAATGGACAGGACAAAATTATCACAATGTTTCACCATTTTAACTGGTTGCCGGAGTGATTTCTATATTGTCAGCACCTAGTAATTGATACAGGAGAATTTAATTACAAATTACAGGAGTATCACAAACACGGAGTGCAATTATTTCTCACAGTTTTGAGAAGGTGCCAATAATTTTGTCCAGTCCATTTTTGGGGTTGTTGCATGGCATGTGTCAGATATGGCTTTTTGTTTCTCCGCTTTCTTGTGTCATACCAATGAAAACAAATGAAATAAACATGAGAATACCTAAACATTTGTAATTGCAACAATTATCTGGGCAAAGTGGTGCATTATCTGACAGAAATGCAGGGGTGCCAATATTTTTGGCCATGACTGTACATTTACTGGTACCTCTTTTCCCCCTCATCAACTTGATAATAAAATGTAAAAATAAAACTTTTCCATTTTGCTTACATATGCTGTGATTAATTCAAGTACAGCACTGTCCTGGACCTTCCCACCAGTTATAATCTGCTTGCATTGCATTGAGAAGTACAGAGACCCAGTGATATGCAGGCAGATCATGGCAGATGGAAGGGATCAGCAGGGTGCTGTACATAGCTTCTTCAAAACATCACAGCACCCAGCCTGCTGCTCAAGAGCCCCCAGTCCTGATCAGGGGCGGACTGACCATTTGGAAACTCGGGCACTGCTCGAGGGCCCAGGGTCAGTAGGGGGCCCCATGAGATGCCCCTGGTACCTTTTTCATAGGCTTTTTTGAGTTTGGGCAAGGACACAGGGGCCCCATGATCCCCTATTGCCCGGGGGCCCCATGAGTTGTCAGTCCACCCCTGGTCCTGATGCAAGCAGTGAGCTAACACTGAGGGGATTATGCAAGTGTTAAAATGATGGGTGGATGTCAGTCTGGAAAAGTGGCCAATCCTAGCTAGGATCTGTTTTGATGCAGACTGTCCTAAGTATGGCAAATGTAATGTTGAGTATCCATATTTGGACAGATTGCTACATAAGCCATTTGTAATTTAATGTTAATAAAAATGTCCTTTCCTTTTCACATACAGTACTGTAATTTCTAATAACATTCAATTAAATATTGCAACCTGAAGGCACATTTTTAGGCACACTCTGCAATATATGAAATTTAAGTATTGGTGACATACTCCCCAAGGGTTAATTACTTCAAAAAAGATGCAGGCAGTTTTCCTCCTAAGGACACAGAGTACATCATCTGATTATAATGAACCAGTCACTCAGAATCAGTATGCAATGAATCTGGTTTAACAACAACACAAGGTACGATTCTGCTAGAAATATTTTTATAAAACCTCTGCACTGTACAATAATCACCCAGAGAGATTTTTCTTCAACAAATATGGAGTTATTCTTTAACTGCTTTCTGCCCACCATAGAAGGAAATGATGGATGGGCGGCAGTTCTCTTGTTCTGGGAGGATATCATATGATATCCTCCCACTCTAACTGCGCATGCGCACCCCCGGGGACGAGTGGCGACTGGTGGTGCACTGTGTCCCTGTGTCACCGATCACAGTAAAGAGCTGATGACATTGGTTCTGTCAGGTGATCAGCTGTGTCCAATCACAGCTGATTGCATGTTAACAAGGAAATGCCAGTTATTGGCAGTGCTCTCCTCAATCTGACAGTGCATGAGGAGAGGAGAGTCGGTAAGCGGCATGTAAGGGGACATGTACACTGATCATCAGGGCACTGATGTTCAGTGCCCTGATGATCAGTGTAACACCCTTAGTGCCACCTGTCAGTGCTCATCAATTGGAAAAAAGGGGAGGGATAGCCACCTAACATGACACGTAAATATGTGTCATATAAATATCTCCGTATCACTAATATTTAGTGTGGATTTATAAACCCAAATGCTTAACATAAAACATAGCAGTATGACAAGTGCAATACTGCTCACACAGAGTGGTTATTAGAAAATCCAAGCGGAGTAGTATAATAAGTATTTACAAACAAGTTTTATTCGATCACATGGATGATACTGAGGTTAGAAAGAGACATGGTAAACAAGTCATTATAAAATTACTGAATTAAAAACATTTGGTGTCTCCAGATCTAATAGTATTCGGCAATCAGGAATCCACATAAGGCAATGAAGTTCCTAACTACTAGATCAAAGGGTTTCCATATTTTCCATATGATATATACATAAGGGAAACATTCTTCAAAAAATGTTTTGGTGACCACCACAGTGAATAGAATGACCTCCTGAAATGGAAAACCAGAAAAAAAGAGATCATAGTAGATGGAACAAAAAATAGGATATATGCACTAACCATATGCAATAGCAAAACAACCCCATGACAGGTATATATGTTATTCCGTTACCTTCTCATAAACTTGACCATCATGAAAGGATGGATATATGGCCTTCCTGGATAGCCACCCCAAATGGAAATATATCCACAGTAGTAAATGATTCTAAAAGTATATAGATATGAAACATAAATATGAAGCTACCAACAAACCTGAATGAGACTAAAATAAGGGTAAAAATCTTAAGAATATTTACCATACAAAAGATCTTTTGTATGGTAATATTTGTATGGTAATATTCTTAAGATTTTTACCTTTATTTTAGTCTCATTCAGGTTTGTTGGTAGCTTCATATTTATGTTTCATATCTATACACTTTTAGAATCATTTACTACTGTGGATACATTTCCATTTGGGGTGGCTATCCAGGAAGGCCATATATCCATCCTTTCATGATGGTCAAATTTATGAGAAGGTAACGGAATAACATATATACCTGTCATGGGGTTGTTTTGCTATTGCATATGGTTAGTGCATATATCCTATTTTTTGTTCCCTCTACTATGATCTCTTTTTTTCTGGTTTTCCATTTTAGGAGGTCATTCTATTCACTGTGGTGGTCACCAAAACACTTTTTGAAGAATGTTCCCCTTATGCAGATATCATATGGAAAATATGGAAACCCTTTGATCTAGTAGTTAGGAACTTCATTGCCTTATGTGGATTCCTGATTGCCGAATACTATTAGATCTGGAGACGTCGAATGTTTTTAATTCAGTGATTTTATAATGACTTGTTTACCATGTCTCTGTCTAACCTCAGTATGATCCATGTGATCGAATAAAACTTGTTTGTAAATACTTATTATACTACTCCGCTTGGATTTTCTAATAACCACTCTGTGTGAGCAGTATTGCACTTGTCATACTGCTATGTTTCAGTGCTCATCAATGCCACCTGTCAGTGCCCATCAATGCCACATACCAGTGCCCATCAGTGCATATCATTGCCGTATAAGAGGTGCCTACAGTGCCTGCCTTTCAGTGCCAACTATCAGTGCCAGTCAGTGACGCCTATCAGTGCCGGTCAGTGTTGCCTATCAGTGCGAGTCAGTGCCACCTATCAGTGCCTCCTAACAGTTCCAATCAGTGCCTCCTAACAGTTTCCAATCAGTGCTGCCTAACAGTGCCAGTCAGTGCCATCTATCAGTGCTACCTTTCAGTGCCCATCAGTGATGCCTGTCAATGTCCAGAAGTGATGCCTGTCAATGCCCATCAGTGCCACCTATCAGTGCCTCCTCATCAGTGCAGCCTATCTGTGCCCATCACTGCAGTCTCATTAGCGCACATCAGTGAAGGAGAAAAATTTACTTATTTACAACATTTTATAACCGAAACTAAGGAAAAACTTTTTTTTTTTTAAAAAAAGTCTTTTTTAGTTTGTTTAGCAAAAAGTAAAAAGCCCAGTGGTGATTAAATACCACCAAAAGAAAGCTCTATTTGTCTCAAAAAAATGATAAAAATTTTGTTTGGGTACAGCACGAAGGGGGTAAAAGTGCCCGGTAAGCAAGTGGTTAAAGTTACATACTTACATAGTTAGTCTGGCTGAAAAAAAGACAAAAGTCCATCCAGTTCAACCATTAAAAAGAAAAGTTATAATCCAACACCCACAGTTGATCCAGAGGAAGTTAAAAAACCCAGCAAAGCATGATCCAAATAGCTCTTGCAGGGAAAAAAATTCCTTCCTGATCCCCCGAGAGGCAATCGGATATTCCCTGGATCAACTTTACCTATACATGTTAGTAACATTCTCCAGCATTGTATAGAAGCCTAGGCTGTGACAGATATTCCTAAGTCAAAATATGACCATTATCTCCTTTTATACATGCTTATCAATTTTTGATACATAAATTGAAGTGAAAATTACTTTTCATTTTGAATCTGAAAAAGCTGTAATACCCATTTTCAGCAAGACTGAAAACCAAGTAGATACATAGTGCCTGGCACTCAATAGCTGCATGATTAATATTGCTTGTTCAAACACATATGGAAAGGTCACAGAATGTAAACAGCAGACTTCATATTAAAAGGTCAGAGCACTAGCAAAGCACAACATTTATTTACATGGCCAAACTATCGCTTAACACTTTAGGCCATGAAGGTCAAATTATTTTTTGTTCTTTTAATAAAAATTAGAAAATAACTGTTAGCTAGCAGCAGCTCAGTAAGTTTCAGAACTAGCCATGTGCACACACTAGGAAAACCCTAAGAACATGAAAGAACAGTATTAATTTAAAGTCAAGGTATGGGTAGATTTAAGAGATACACATTAATGCACCTCTGTATTCACAAATTCATAAATAATATATACAAATTTGGCGCTGGAGGGGTGTAATAAAGCTACATGAAAGTCCATATGGTCCATCAAAAAGTCCATGTGGGAGACCGTTAGTGTTCACAATGACAATATATTTGCAAAAACGGCTGCATCAGTGGCAGCACCCTCAGAGCAAAGCTGAACTCTGCATGTGGAAAAGAAGAAGGAAGAGGGGCGTCGGACTAAGTGCAGCATTAAATGTACAATTTATTAGCAAAACACTGGCCTATCCTAAACCAAGACCCACACCTCAACTCTACCACCCTATCTGCCCCTAACTTTGTTTACCGAAGGGCTCCTAATATCAAAAAACAGGATTGCACCTAGTAAGATTCCATCCGGTCAATCTAGCTGTACAAACCCACTCTAATTCCTCTAGTAGGAATGTTCAGTTGCAATAAACCCCTTTGTCTCACATGTGCTCATGTCCATCATGGTCAAAAATCCTTCATTGCCAAAGGCAAGACATACCCAGTTGGAGCCTTCTATAACTGCTCCTCAACATACGTAGTCTACTGTTTATCTTGCCCCTGTGGTTTACTGTATATTTGATGTACTATCAGGACCCTATGGAAAAGATTCGGTGAACATCGCAGGCTTGTGGATGATGGTATCACCAAGCATAGTGTACCACGTAATTTTGCTGAGTATCATTCAAAATCTTCCTTAGATCTGCATGTTTGGGTGATTGAGTCTATACCCGATTGTCTCCCCCAGGCTGAGCGGTTCCAAAAACTCTGCCGACACGAAACTTATTGAATATTTACCCTGGATACCCTGGCTCCTAAAGGTTTAAATGAAGAGATCGAAATCCATACGATTATTTAGCCTTATTTATGGGTCATGGTTTTGATTTTTCGCTTCTTTTCTGTACCTGTCCCCAGTTTTCATTTTACCCTGTATATGCTTGTGTGCACGTCATATTTGCACGTATATATTTTCTTTATTTTTTTTTTATATTTTTTTTAATATAAATTTTACTATCTAATATTTTAATACCTGTATATTATGTGGTTTCCATATTGACTACCACTTCACACATTTCAGGTTGAGACTTCCAAAATTCACCCACCTTTTTTCTTCATCGGGGTGGGTTTGAGATTCCATATAATTCTCCCACCTTTTTTTCTACATTGGGGTGGGTAAGTAATATTACACCTTAGGGTCTCATCTCCGTATAGCTACTTATTGTGTGTATATATACGTACGTATACATATGTATATGTGTATGCTTATTTATTTGACTTATTTCTTCATATAAACACGTGTGTGTTTCTTATGCATTTTTCCATGTAGTTTTTATATTATTTGTATGTGGGTTTATGAGTAGTCTTTCTTATTCCATTATACTAATATGTCCCCTTATGTGCTCCATTACATCTATTTCTCATTCGCATGTTATAGGAACATGTTTTTAGAAGCGTGTTCCATGATTGTTATTTATATGACTATGTCCTTTATTGCAGTATTCCCCTTTATCTTAACATGTTTATCCATTATTAATTTTATTTTATTTCTGCATTATAATACCTCTTTTCCCCTTTTTCTATCATTGTTAAATTGTATCCATATGGCAGTAACGTTGTGTGTGCAATATCATTCTCCGGATCAGTTCCTTTAAAGCGTGTTCCTTTTAGCCTATCCACATCCCTTGTTACTGTCCCCTCCCCTACGTCCCCTATATAGATGGCCATTTCTGTTGGCCAATCAGGTCTGAGAAACGCGTTACTGCACACCCACATCATCATGCTCCTACGCTGATGTCACGTCCGCCCCGGTGCCATTTGCATTCCCCGCTGGTTCCCTGTGGCGGACAGCCACTCAAGGATATCCTTCCAGCCATAATCAGACGCATGGATACCACTTGTCCTCCATTGCCTCCCGGGAGCCAGAACTACGTTTAGTGCCATGCTCAGTTCTTTTTTGCTTCCAATGAGTTGCTAATTGTCATTTTTACTAATAAATTGTACATTTAATGCTGCACTTAGTCCTGCACCCCTCTTCTTTCTTCTTTTGCAAATTCATAAATAATTAAGGTAAGTACCTGAATTTGACATGGTTTCAGCCTTTTATTCACCTGTACAACAGCATCAAGACTCAAGAATTAGAAGTGGGGGAGGGGGGGGGGGTGCAGCCATTTAGGTCATCAGCATGCAAATATCCTGAAAAGTAGTACGCTGACAGGTAGACAGTACATAGAGAGTAGAGGGATGACCTAATCTGATCTGCTACTCCTTCCCTGTCCAGTCAGCAGGGTACTGTTATTGGTTTGAATAGCCAGGCCACGATGAAGTCACTCACCCGCATTTGTGCAAGGATAGCATACTCAAGTGTGCCATACATCCAGAGTGTATGCGCCAGTGATGTCACCGGCTGCTACAAATGTAAATTTCTCCTGAACAGTACACGTTTATGAGAAATTCACTGTACCTACAGATAAGCTTTATTATAAGTTTACATGTAGGTACATGACATAAAGTGGCGTTCACTACTGGTTTAAAGCTGTCCATTCACAGAGCGAGTATCCTGCTGAACCCGCTAAAATTAATTCAGTGGGGGACGCTGTTGGTCGCCTCCCACCCAACACCCTACAATTGAAAAATCAAAAGAGCGAGGAAGAAAATTGCGATCTGAACAGCTTCTGCATCCAATCCAGATAGTAGTTGATCCCTTTTTAATGTAGACCAGTGCCTTTTGAGATCTTTTTTACGTCAAAGTGTTGATTGGCAACTTTTTGGGTATTTTGACAGCTGGTTGGGCAAGCTGTGAATAGCCACAGTAGGAGATTGTCCATGCATGCTATATTGTATAGCCCATACAGTGTGGATAAAACAAAGCTCCCCGCTGTAGCTATTGTAGGAGGAATCTGTTTTTATTCCATTCAGCCTACAGATGTGTGGCCAGATTTAGACATTCGCACTGTGCTGCTTTAAAAAACTATTCATATTTCATGCATTGTTCATTATATTGCAGTATTTATATCTTTCCCAACACAAACTACACATAAACCATAATAACCTGTCAAAAGGCATCAAAACAAATCTACTTTTAACAAGCATTCCCAGAATCATTATCTCTCCGTTTGTCTAATTTCCTACTTTTCCACCTGCACGTCTGCCACAGTGCGTACAACTTGGCGCAATCATTTTTCAATGTTAATTGCCATTCAGGACATCCTTATCACAGTGTAAACTCAAGAGTAATTTGTCTCATCCCCGGATAATGTTATTAAAATAGGCTGGTTAACAAAGCTCAATCTTGTTAATAGACCCCTAAAGCTTTGTTAACTTGGACCTGTTTTGTAGCTGCCTCTCAATTACCTTCCAGCTGCCATTCATTTGTTGCAGGTCCTGTGTGTGTTTTCCAGGCACACTGCATGGCGTGGCCTCAATATATAAAAGTGCAGGCATGCTTCTCCCTGGTAAATTTTAATGCCCTTTTACTGACAGATTGATGTAAGGTATGATCTCTGGGAAAGGAGATGATGAATTAGTGAGAAGCAAGGGCAGCCACAGAATCAAGTAAATGTGCTGATGGCAAATGTAGATAAACATATGATATATAATACATTGCAGCCATGGAAAACAAATTGTCTTTGTTTTTTATTTTTCTTTAGAA